TAAATTTTTTCCTTGAACTTCCCTGAAATTTTGCAATATTTAGTTTTGAAAAAATTGCCTGTTAAACACTAATATATACAAGACCACAGCTTCGAATTGAATACTTCTAAATTGATTAGCTTATAAAATACAACTATTTAACAGGACTTTTTCAATATCAATTCGTCCTTTAAATACCATCTTTTAAATTTAGAAGCTATATTTTGGTTTTTCTGTTTTCTTAGAAGATCATATTGCCAGCTCTTCTGATTTAGGTTCAAAGGATAAAAATTTAAAAATATCAACGGCATTTAGATTCGAACAAAGTTTTGAGGCTATTTCTTTCAGATTTGCTATTTATGTTTATGCTTCATGAAAAAACTTTTATAAAAACTTAACCTCCAACTGAAAACGAACATAATAACATTACATATTATTATATAAAATATGCAATTTTAACACAAACATATATTTAGATTCAACTTCGTCATGGCTTTGTCCAAACGACCGCTCTCCAAGGATACCGCTTTGGCTGAGAACAACAACAATAACAACACCAAATCCGAAGAACACGAAACTGCAGTGAAACGTAAAAAGCGCTCAAGTCGTGATGATGAATCGGCAAATAATAATAACAACAATAACTCTAAAACCGAAGACAAATTGTCCACTTTGCCACAAAAGAAACGCGCTGTAACCAACAACAACAACAACAGTAATACAAACAAATCGAATACATCACCGCTCGACGTTGCCACGCTGCAAACCTCCGTCGCCATGACCACAACACCCACAGTGCATTCGCCTGAACGTCCAACGGCAGTGAGCACAATCGCGGCCACAAAAGCGTCCGCTGACGATCAGGACGACGAAACGCTGATACGCGAGACACAGGCAGCACTGAAAAGCTTATCGGGCAGTTGGCCACCAGAGGCACGCAACAATCTCTATCGATTGCAGGATCAGGACGAGAACCCGCCCCCATTTCAAAATCTCTTCGAAGAGAAACAAAAGTATGGCGCCCAGTCGCAGCAGATTAGCAAAGAAACAAATTTTCAAACAGATCCCTTACGTTTCCACAGACAAAAGGAAAATGATCAGGCGCGCCTCAACTCACAGCATCCCGAACAGGTGCTGGACGACCGCAAGCGCAGCTCATTCTCGCAGGCGTCCGCCTTCAAGCCACCAACCGATTTCAAGCGTAATGGCCTAATTCCATATCCGCCAGGTACAACGGCGGTACCACCAACACACTACCCGATCTACAGTAGCAACAACGATACGTCCGCTGCATATCTCAGCTACCAACAGCACACACTTCCACACGATCCAAGCTGCCACACCGCGCCCATGTTACCACCGCGCCCAACGCCAACAACCGCAGCAGCCGCAATCAGCAATGGTTTCGATATCGCTTCACAAATTGGCGCCTGCGATGGCAAAAATAGCGATGCAGAGCAGCGGGCAGCGGTTGGTCTCAAACACAGCGACTTGCTGGGTAGAACACATGACGCTGCTGTTGTTGGTGGTGTGGTTGGCGCAACATCGGCCGCCGATACCAAGCACTACACCATTTTGCAGCCAGCTGGTGTGGGTAGTCGCGCGGCATCGGTGATGCAGGATATTGCGCGCGAGGGTGCCGTCACAGCAGTAACAGCTGTTGGCGGCAACAACAGCAACAACAACAACAACAACAGCAGCGCCGCAACATCAAGTGTGCCACAGCCGACCTACTCGCCGGGCAGCATCAATCGCGGAGGTAAGTAAAATCCAGTCGGAGTGCTGCGGCATCTGACCATTGCCATAAACTCTAAATATTTATGTTGACATTGTGGAATTTCTTATTTTTATTTTCGTTTGGTTTTTATATTATTTTCCCTTACAAACAATTCGGTTTAAAATTTTTGGGTTTTTGTATGATTTTGGTGCAATGAATCGGCGTAAGCTTGTGCTTAACTTCTTGTTGCATTGAGTTTAACTCCAATCCATCAACAGTCCATACAAATTAGGCATACCAGTAGGCACACCGAAATTAGCTAGGTACATAGCACACTTTAAGGAGTAGCTTTGCTTTGGGGTTGCAGGTTTATCTTCCGGCAGGTTTCACGGTGTGCTGAGGCTATAATTGGTTTATTTCAGAAATACGTTTCTAAACAGAGTCTTTATATTATGTATACATATGAACTTTAATGCATATTAATTTTTTTTGCAGGCGGTTCCCGGCGTTAGAAAGCGATGGCGGCACCGAGGTCGGCTCTTAAAGTTTTTTCTTAGATCTAAGTTTTGTTTTAGCGCTGAAACCTAGTGGCTTACCAACTATACATATATAGATTAAGACTCTACGACTAACATGAATAAAATTTCGTACTTCTCCCAGATCAAAATATATCTGCTAGGTTCTTAATACCGAACTCCTTTCAATTAAAACTGGAAGTTTTATAAATATTTTAAATATTCCACGTCAGTCGCTGAAGTTAAAATTCTTTTACTTTTTTTGCCAAATGTTTATGCTTTTCTAATATGGGCTTTTAACATTAGAGTGTCCTTCTACAAAATTCTATTAATAATCACTTTGAAAACAATCATTCTCCTCAACCTCAAAAGAAACTGAAGAAGGAAAAGTTAATAATTGCATCCATGTGCTTAATATTTCGTTGAGAGAACCATAAATGAACCATTGCATAAGAAATTCTAAAACAGCTTCCTCTAAGATAATTTCATTATAGCCTATTTCCACCAAAAGCATAACTGCAGTTAAGTGCTTTGATAATAATAATAATAGATTGGCGCGTACACATATGTTAGTGTTTGGCCAAGCTTCTCCACCGATTTGTGGCGTGCGCCTTGATGTTGTCACACAAAGCGGAGGGACCTACAGTTTTACGCCGACTCCGAACGGCGATTGTATTTTTTATGAGAAGCTGTTTTTCATGGCAGAAATACACTCGGAGGTTTGCCATTGCCTGCCGAGGGACGACCGCTGTTAAGAAAAAACCTTTTTTCTATATTTTTGCGATGTTGCTTTGACCAGGGTTTGAACCCAGGCATTGTGGAGTGGAAGCGCGCACTGCTTACCACTACACCACAGCGGCCGAAAGTGCTTTGATAAGTTCCAAGAATTTTAAAATGTGGCGATCGGCAAGATTTATTTCTTAATTTTTGCTTTTTTCTCTCGTTTGCTTGTACTTAAATAATATGAACAATTACCCCCTTTGAGTTTTAATCTTATTTTTCCAATAGGCATGAACAGCAACTAAGACTTGGTGGAAATGAACTATTAGAGAATTTTGACTTAAAGTTTAAAGTGATTAGCTGCTGGGTCATTCCATGTAAAAGAGGAAAACGGCATAAATTTATAATGCCTCAATTATACCTGTTTCAATAGTAACTTCACGCTAAATGACCACATCTCATTTGCTTGTTAAAAGATATAAAACAAATAAAAAAGCTAAAAGGTCCAAATTGTCTAAATTGTCCATGAAAATTTTTTCCACACAAATTTAAATATTGATAACATTCTCCAGTAGAATACCCCACCATTTGAATGGCGCTAATATAAATACTCTTATATGTAGACCACGTGTTAACTTACTAGGTCGTCTATCAAATCTACTGTCCGCACATATGAAAAGAACTTCTTAGTGTCTATTACTTTTTTGACAGCATTTTTAATACATACTAGGAGTGCCTGTTACTGTCGAAATTCGACCGTTTTTTTCTACTTTTTAAGACCCTTAGAGAGGCTAACTAAGCACGTCGGTTAACTTGTCAAGAACAAAGGTTACTTATCGGAACACGACCTGCTTTGGAAGTAAAACATGAGCAAAATGTTTCATATCTTTGAAGGTTTTGGAGGACTTAGAATCGAGTCGATATATTCGGTTGTCGATAAAATTCGTTAACTCAACAAAATTCGATAACTCGACTATTTTCAAAAAATTTTAGATAACTGTGCGTTTCGAGGGCTCGATAAATTTCGATTACTCAAAAATGTATATATCTCGATATAAATCGATAAACTTTGGATACCTCTATAAATTTCGATAACTCGGTTAATTTTAATAGCTCCATATTTTTCGAAAGCTATTGATAAATTTCGATAACTCGTTACACTCTGGTAACACGATAAAGTTCGATAAGCAGTAATAACTCGCTAAACTTCGGTAACTTGGTAGCTTTCGATAACTTAGTTTTTTATAACTGATCCAGATCCAACAAATAAAAATTATTGTTTATTTTTTTTGTAATTTTTTACCGTTATTGATTTCAAACTAATTTGTAGTATTTAGGTCCATTTCTAGATGATTATTCGCCCTCTAATAGCTAATATTTTAGAAAATTTTTAATCTTCGCCAAATATAACTTTTATCGTTAACTAGTCTTATTTTTTGTTAAATCTTTATCTAACAAATTGTATTAGGTTTATTAATTTATAAATTTTGGTTTTTGTTTTTTTTTTTTCACAAAATGGCGCTGCCTCCATTTTGCGAGCTTGGCGTGAAAAGTGCGCATTAAATAATTTTATAAACGCATCTTGAACCAAACTGCGCCTTTTTCGATCATCGCGTGGAGTCAAAAATCCTTTTAGAGTCCTCAAACAGTGAATACATTTTTAAATCCGTTGGAGCATGTAAAATTTAAGTTTTCCGCCCTACAAAAAAATTTATCTGAAAATAACGGTTATAGTATGTATGATTTAAAAAATGAAAATTTAAAAACAACGATTATTATTGACCGGGAAAATAAAAATAAAAAATAAGGGCTAAATTTAATCAGAAAAATAGAAATTTAATTTTAGAGGTCATATTTGGAATTGTCTTTTAAATCCTTCAGAAGTGGTTGAGGAAAATTCGATTGCCTTCTTTAAATGCACAAAGGACTTACACTTAGTAAGTACTTAACCTATTCAAATGAACAAAATGCATAAGCAGATTTAAGCCATGTTTATCACATAAAAATGGGAAAATCCGTGCGCGATACAATGTAGAACTCTCTTGTCCTCAGGATGTAAGCAAGTATTCAAATCTGAGGACTTCAGCGTGCGTGGAAAAAAAAATAAATATGTAGTATATATTGAAAAATATAAACAATACATATTTCGGTTTCGAATTCCGATTTCAGCCTTTGTTCGTTAAATTGACACTTTTTTAGCGAATTATTGCAAATTTCATAAAATTTCCAGTTGTTAAAAAATGTTTGTTTTGTTTTGAAATAAATATTTTTTATTACCGTAGGAGTTTTATTTTTTACAACGCTTACATCCTATGTAGAATTTGTTATAAGTAGTAGCTTTGTTTTTAATTTGGTAAAAATTACATCAAATATTATTTGTCAAAAGTATAGTGAAAGTTGTAGTTTATCGCAAGTTTTTGTATCGAAAATTTTTCTTCAAATGTATAAATCTGTTTAGGCCTCTTAAGTTACATACAAAATTTGAAGCGCCCGATCGGCTTGGGATCCAATTACGTACTCAGCAGCGAACCTGTTGGCTGTCTGCTGCGATTTACGCTTGTCAATGTCGAGTTTGTTTGCACCCTTTAGATGTCTCGCCTCTCTCTTCCATCGGTAAATTAGTGCTAAGTTGAAGAATCTCGCTTTGATGGGGTTTGTAGCGAACCGCTTACGAAAATCAATAGCAAGGTCTTCTAGAAGTCTATTTTAATGACTCTCTTGCCAATGCCGAAAATATTTTTCCCTCCACTTATTAACCATTCTTTTGAGAACTGGTTCCCCGAATGTCATAATACACTTCGCATACAAATCGTCATTTCAAATAGTCATTTGCCATATTTTGGCTGTCTGTCGAGTCACTAAAATTCCCGTCTTAAACACCGCGATTCTTCTCACCTTGTTGTGTTAAAATACCTCTTTTTTGAACAATTACATAATTGTATGCTTACATGCATATAATTGTGAGTATATGAACAAAAATGTGAAGCGGTAAAAGCACACTCAAGTGCTGTAATAATAGAAATTGTTATCACAATCATAAGAATTGTTATTATTTGCGCATTTTGTTGGCATTTAAGCCGACACCGTTTTGTGTAGCCTCTTGTACTAACTCACGCACGAATTGAGTTTTTTGACTACATACCCGTATTTGAGTACAAGGCGAAGCCCCTGGCTGTTTGGTAGATAATGCCATTGTTGTGTGCTCATTTAGTGTAGTGCTTAGACTTAGAAAACCTCAAGAAAGTTGTTGTTCAAAACCCTTCGCTTCAATCGCCCACATAGCGGCATTAGCGTACATTAGACACGTACGCTTAATGTTTTGAATAGCTACACACCGGCATAAGCTTATGTATGTATGTCTACCCACTAGCTACCTACAAGCCACTGCTTAAGCTACTAATTTCTCTACATTATAATATAGAAATTTCATCTTTTAACCAACAAATGTATGTAAACAGCAACAACAGTAGCAGCGGGAGGGGTAGCACGCAAAAACTCGCAGTCATTTTAGAAATTATTATTATTTTCATACATCTTTGTTGTTGTTATTGCAATTCACATAAGTGTGTGTGCAAAAGTGGCTGCTTGAATGTATCTATGTATTTATGTGCGGCATGTCGCTCTTAAAACCACTTTCGCATATTTATTTTGTCATTATGTCGGCATTAATGCTTTCAAGGATAAATGCTTAGCTGCTACTAAGCCGTATGTATGCCTACACTACACTACATAAGCGCTACAGCAACAACAGCAAAATAGGCTCAGCTAGGTTTTTCAATGTAAATAACTGCTCATGTGTGCGTGCAT